TACTGCCTCCATTGCATCTCGGGCTCTGTCCCACCCCAGCCTGTACAGGCTGCTCAGGCAACACAGATGCTGGCTTAGTCATGTCCACCACATGGACAACAGTCACATCCCCAAAGATTCCCTCTATAGCCACCTGGCACTGTGCAAGAACAGCAAGCTGCACATAGCTATTGTACCGGCACATATGCCAGCCTTGAAGACTATTTTCTGTCAGTTGTTTAAAGTAAATGAAGACATTTCCCCCATGTTTCCTTCAAAAGCTTCCTGGCAATGAAAGTTGGTTTCATTGCCATTTTTTTTGCATATCATACGATCAAGCTCTTCCCACAAGAGGGACAACATTAGGACTGTGATTTGGTGACTGCTTTGGCCACACCATTATAGACAAAATACAAGCTGTTAGCAGTTTGTCTTAACAGTTTACAGCAGAGTATGGAGATGTGAGATGTGGGTCATTGTAGAAGGAAATTGCCTCCAGTAAAGTGACATCCAAAGGCTTTGACACAGCAAATTGGAATGATGGCCTTCCTTGATCAAAATTAATTTTATCCTGTAGAAATCTTCATTTTTACAACCAATAAAAAGTATCTGCCATGCTTGACAGATGGCATTAAGAACTCTGTATCTTCATTTGTTCTGTCTTAAGTTCTCCCAAGGTTTAAGATGTGTATATTGGGAATGCAGAGACTGGTGTAATTATGAATCCAACAATATTTAGATTTAGATCTTTTTGGATCATTTTCAGAATCCACATAGTCTGATGCTCCAGATACCTAAACAGCCAAATCTATTGCATTAAAATATTGCATTACAACAGTTTTCAGATGTATAAGAAAGTCTTTAACAATATCTTTAAACATTAAAAAAAAGTGGTTACAGAAAGCGAGTATCTGAATGTTTTCTGTATAGACAGGGCAATATTATTTATTATTAATCGTTAACTGTAATTTATAACATTTCTCATCAATTTCTTAATTTTTATTAAAATCAATGTTTTTCTTTACAAATTAACAACTTATCTCAGTAGCTGCTGACTTTTGACCAGCAGTGCACACTACTAATGCTACACTTTTACACACCACAGAATTCAAACTCTAACTGCCCCTCAAGACAAGTGAGAAGTGTTATTTATTTATTTAATTTTTTCATGTTTTACCCCCCCCAATTCCCATACAATTTGTTTGATCACAGCATGGACCAAATTCATTTATTATTATAAATGTTTTTGGAAAAATGTCAGAGTCCCTGTCTGTTTATTTCTTTACAAGGCTCCTGTGTTGTTGCTAATCCTCTTGCCTTTAATTAACATAACAAAATCATTAATGTTTCCTTTTTATCTTTATTATCGTGTCTTAAATCCCTTTAGTGGCTGAGAAGCATGGCTAATCGCAAAGAAATGGGTTGTGATATGTGTTATTTCAGCTTGTTTTCTGACTTCCAGCTGCAGATGAATAAAATAAACCCGTATTTATCTACCGTCTTAGAGTAGGGAATTATTCCTAACTGGCAAAAAACCCCACTGTGGTCACATATTTGCCCTTACCTTTAGACATCTGAATAAAAGGATTTTAGATACTTTTCCCCTAATAACTTCAATCTTTTCCAGGATTTAGGACAGAACGCTTAAAGATAACAATCTCGGCATATTCTTAGGTTTAAGGTTGTGAATTTTGTTGTAACCAGCTTTGTCTAGAATAACTGCTTCATCTACTGCATTATACATTCAAGGTCAACTTGTCAGTTGCTGGGTGCACTCTGAAAAATATGAGGAAAACATTTATTGCACTGTATTGCTACAGTATGATGCCATCTACAACAATACAAGAGGTACAACTATTGTTCCATGAAAAACATAACAAATTACATTGAAATGCACATCTAGCTACACTTTTTAAATGTTCTTTTTGACATGTGTTTCTTTTTCAAGACAGCTGAACTGAAGTTTTTCCAACAAGGCCCAAATCACAGCTAACTATAACTGCAAGGTTGAATACATATGAGTGAAAATGAAACAATACAACCAGCTAGTGAGTTGCCCGAACATCTATGGAGCTTAAAAGTTGTTAGGGTCCCTGGGTCGTTGACCCAGTGTTTTGTGTTTTTGGTTCTTTGATTTTGTTATTTCATTATATTCTAGCTTTGCTTTATGGGTTTTAGGATCATTCTTATTCATATCCAACTGATACACAAACATTCAAACCTTCTGTTTATATCACTCAGGGTACTAGCAATAAAGATCAATAAAATAATGTTTAAAAAGGAAATGGGGGTATCTAGGGATCTGCAGGGCAGTAATACAGTGGAGGAGAAACTTGCAAAAATAAAGCCAATATTGTAGTTGCTTTAAAATGATTTTCATGTAAAGATAAGGATGAGGTGAGGACTTGCAGTTTAAAAAGCATGCAAGTGTGTGTGTGCATCCATGACTCAGATATGTAAGCCTGATGAGAGAAGTTACATACAGGGCGGTATACCCGCTACTGATAAGAAAATTTAATGATAACCTATAGTGTGCACTGCACCGCTATTTCTAAATCTTATAGTTAAAGCCTGGGGGAACAGCTTTAAAATTTGGTCCTAAGACTTTGGTCTTTATGTATCATTTGAAAAGACTAAAAAATGTTAAAAAATGAATAAGAAACTAGTGTAGTCCCTGTTTTTATTTTTAATTGTTTTTGCAGAACCTAGAGAATGCATACAGAGGATGAAGGCAGCCATCCTGTCTAAGTGCCTTATAAATAACACCAAAATCTACTGATGCATGCCCTTGTTATTTTTCTTTTCTTACAGATACAGTTACAGGATAATTTGCTCATAATAATTTCTTCAGTAAGTCTTGTATAAAACACTCAAAAGGTTTTGAAAAACTTTTGAATACAGAGGATATTCCACAGGTTACAGTCACTGAGCCCGTGGAGTTACTGACAGAGTGTGGTTATAAGCACTTTTATACAGTTTTACATCGGCCCCAGAAATACTACTTTATTCGTAAGCAGTCTTCATGCAGCTTTGCAACCTGCATATATCATAGGGTTACAACCCAACTATAACTTTACACTGGGTCTATTCATCAGGTGCTGTGATGCATAGTGTGATTTTCAGTATCAGCACAATGTGTACAAAGCAGTAAATCAGAAAGGCTTTATGCATACGTACTTGTTTGTGTGTGTGTGTATGTGTGTGTGTGTCTGAAGAGTATGTTGTTACTTTGCACCAATAGGACCCACTACTGACATTAAGTTGAAAGCGACAGTGCAATTACAGTTGATTAAAAGTTCCCTTACTTCATTCTCTGCTGCATGTTAATTGGATTTGGTTGGAAATAACGTGCACTTAAAAGTTTTTTTTAATGCAGGCCCATAAGAACTAGATTTTTTTGTGTCCACTATTTTGATAGTACATTTTTTGTTTATTTTTTTGTTGCAGTGACATTGTTACAAAAAATAAAAAATAGAACTATTTCTTACGTTACGCTAAAATCATTAACACCATTTTCACACATTTTATGTTTGCGAAACCTTTTAATTACATTTTAAACAAATACTTGAGATTTTTAAAGCCTAAAGCTGTATGAAGTTAAGCATATATAGAGCAAAGCATAAGGTAATGCTTGGCTCTATATATGTTTAACTTCATAATAGCCTTTTACTGAATTAAAAATAATGATGATTAGCTCTTTTGAAGCAGTCCTGTGTTGATGGAAAATAGTGATTTATAGCAGTGCTGCCCTCAGCAGTTCAGGTGCTGAAATGCTGATCTATCAGTTTGCTAGGTTTATCTTAAATATCAGTCCTCCATAAACCTGAAGTCCAATACTTTACATTTTCAGTATTTTGCTAAATTAGACTCTTCCGAGTTATTTGAAAACAAAAAATTACTATGCACTTTACTGATGATAATGCATAAATATATATACCACAGAACTTTGGGAGAACATGCTGTACTATTACGACTAAATACTCAGCGCTTTACAAGGACTCTGTGGGTCTTTGTAAAGCAATACTATGCCTACCCAAAGACAGTCAATACTGGAAAAACAGCAAATGATAAAAAAGCGCCTTGGTATATGGTGATACATACTGATGCAATATTATCATATCGAAAGTAGCTTCACTTAACATTTACTCATGCACCATTGAGTAAAATTAGCCTACTTTAGGTCACAGCAACACAGTCAATTCACTGCGAGAGCTGCTTCCCAAGAAGTCAATAGAAAGTATTGTATTACATGCTGGCAATGATGAGAGGAGCAGTCCAGAGGGATAATACAGACTGAAATGCTGCATACATAGAGGGTTGCACTGAAATCTGAAGTATAATATGGGCAAGCAGAAAAATAACAGCCCCACTCTGTGGAGTGGAACCAGAGGATTCAGAGATCAAATAGATAAGCCACTTCAGACCTTTCCATTTTAGTGCATGATAGAGCTCACATCACTAAATTCTTGCTTGGCACATCATCCCTTCCCTATTTGATCTCTGCTACTTATGCTTAGACTACAAGACTTGACTGTGTTAGAAAATAGGGATCCAAACTGAAGTTTAATTAAATTCTTAATTATTCAATTGACCCAGCAGCTGGTGATGAGTGGAAATGAGGCATGAATAGGGTGTTTTATTAAAACCCGTAATCTCAAATTATAAAAGCAATGTCAATTCAAATTTGTCAATTCAAGTTTGCATTAGTCGGTTTCTGCGTGATGCTAATTAGAACAGTACACATCTTATTCAAAATCAGAGTCAACTTCTCAAACGTGTATGGCGAGTAAACTCCAGCACTGATATCACTAAACAGATGCGCTAAAGACTGGTAATGAAATCAGAGAGAAGATTATATGTGGTAGAGATCCAGCGTAAACTCACGGAGGGGGAAAAAAGAATATCAGCCTTTCACAGCGGTCCATACACTTCACCCTTCATCATTTGGCAAAACAGTACCTTAGCTACACGACCAATAAGAATATGACATGAAAGGAGGAAACACTTAAGTTGATACTTACTCCTTTTTAAAATCTTCATCGTGCATTACACTCCCTGCCAGTGTCCCCATTTAGTGGCCCCTCTTCTGTTTGTCAGCACATATTTTGAGAGCTGTTGAGAGAAAAACCTGATTACAGAAACCCAAATTGTGCTTTCACAGTAAGGACACTGTTTTGATTTTGCTGTATCATTTCACAGTAGAGCTAACACATGGAACACACGAGAGGCCAAGAGCATTCCTCGGCTGTCAAACGAAAATTTCCCTCCTAATTCTTGAGGACTTAAAGCCCTTAGATTCTAAACACACTAGTAAAAGTCATCCCACTCCCAGCTTAGTTTTACTTTACGAGGTTCTCTCGGTTTAACACATTTACAACAGCTCTCACTTTAGTTCTGGGCCTTTGGGGGTATTTGATACAGTCATCCACAACTCACTTTTGTAAAAATAAAAAAAACCATAATATTACTCTTTAGTGCTAAATTTTTGCATGTATAAAATGGATTTTGACAGACTTCTTGCACTGAAATGGGACTTTGAGAAATGACGCAGGTTTCACAAAAAACCTGATCAATGAAAAAGGCCAGATGTTTACTTCAAACAAACTTCAGCAGAGTGTGGTGAAAATCCCTCTAAAATAACACTGCACATTATCCTGTCTGATTGGACGCTATTGTGACACAGAAGTCCATAAGTGGCACATTTTATTTGTATCATCAACAGTAATTACGTTCCCACCAGCATGGTAAGAAGAGATGAACAGATTGCAAGTATTGTCCCCATACCCACTCACAGATAAGTTTACAAAGTGAACCTATGTCCTCTCTTGGCATTCTGAACTTCATGTCCAACTCATCAATGGTTTCAGTCAAACACTTGTAATTATCTTGTTTGTGAAGTATTACAGTTTGTTATCTTGAAAGAGCCCCTTGATCATCCTAAGCCATTATACAGCAGGTCTGCATGCCAGTACTAACATGTAATGATGACACATATTGTTAGATTTCCTGCATTTCAGCTACTCGTGTTTCGAAGACAAACTTACAGCATTTTACGAAGGTCTGCAGCCTGCATGTTTCCTCAAGCTTGGGTGTCAAATAATATCTTAAGCCCCTCACTGAGTGGTAACAGATGGAACCAAATCAAAACAGTGGAAAATAAAGGCAATGCATTTGAGTCGCATGGGCTGACAGAACTGGATGTGAGCCATACAAGCTACAATACAGTGGAAGCTGTGTGAGACATATGTGCTGCTATTTCAGTGTTCCAGAAGGGTGCATTTGTCATGACCCACATGGCCCAATATCCCACTCGCAGATTGGAATTTTAGAAACCTTGTGGCATTTGACAGGAGACTTAAGAGCAACCAAAGTACCATCAATTCTCTGTAATCAAAGCTTAGAAAAATCACATGAAATGAAAAAATAATAAGGCCTGTCTGAGGCATTTCTATACTCCTCTGTTATTAAATTTGATTACCTCGTCATGCAAATATTAGGTGGTAAACAAAGCTATGTCTGCAATCAAACCTTAGTTGACTGTAATCAAACAAAAGCTAGAGCCAGTAATTGGTGTTTACCAAGAGAGAACCAACATATCAGTTATGCTTTTTTTTAATCTTTCACTAATTCCAACCGGTAAACAGCTATAATCAATGGAATGCAATGTTTTATATAAGTACCAGTTTGTTCATGCCAAGCACCTAAAGACCAGAATAGACAGAAAACTCTATCAGTAAACACATGCATGGACTCAAAATCCTTCCAGACTTTATTATAGAGTCAAAAACAAAAATGTCCTTCACTTTTTGCTTTTGTTCACTTAAAGATGCACTCTAATATTTTAAGTTAATAGAAAAATATTAGGTCATAGACCACTAATAAACTAAAATAGACCACTTCTGGGTAGGAAAACTTAAGTAAATAGAAGTGGCATTAACCTGCTTTGTTTGATAATGATTTATAGATAAAGATTTACAGAAAAACACTCTCAGTTCCTTTGACCTTAGACCCTTCCCTGATGAGTTTTTGGTCTCAATTGCTTGTTTCAAAATGTAATCATTCTAAAATGATGTTTATATGGCTCCTATTATAGTAGAAAAGAATAAAGCAGGGAATGCGTTTGAGGGGGTGGGGTGCTGTCTATCTTGTCGTTGATCATACGAGCATGCATTGTGCCTCTTAATAAGATCAACCACTCACTTATCCCATCCAGTTATCCAAACAGCAATAAAGAGCTAAAATGCTCAGCTCAAGGAACATAACAGAACTTCACTAACCAAGCACAAGGCAATATATTAATAAATAAATTTGGGGCATCACCAATTTATTGTGAATGGTGATGACTTTGTGGAGCCAGAAATTACAATATTTGGATATATTTGCAGTTAAAGTACCAAGTCACCAGCTAACTCTGGAAAGCACATAGCTGCTAATTAGTACTAAGTAACACTGGAGTTTAACACACCAAAGTTGGAGCAGGTGTTAATACAAGTTAGAATTCCATAAATAATAGTGTAAAAGAAAAAGAGGAAGTTTTAGCAACACCCCTTTTAAACCTTAATGTAATTAAAGACTTTATATATATATATATATATATATATATATATATATATATATATATTTGGCATTTCTATGCTGGCACACTTAAATTTCTCAATAATTTATTTTTGCCCTTAAAAACAGCATTTTTCTGTAAGTATTTGTATTTTCAGGCAAATCTGGAAAGAATGGACTGCCTTTACTGAAATGTTACTAAATATACTACAGAACCTTTAAAGGAACAATAAACATATATTTCTTTTTTAACGCGCCAGAAGGGCTTGCTCATAGGGGGTCATATGATTGTTGGGTTTATCTTTGTAACTATTATTGTATGATCTACTGTGCAATATAAAGCGCCTTGAGGCAACTGTTGTTGTGATTTGGCGCTTTATAAATAAAACTGAATTGAATTGAATATTTCTATTATGGAAATTCTGCTCATCATACAATTTTAAAGTGCCCATTTTGTATGAAGATAATGTCATAGATACGAATGTGTAGACATCCCTCAGGTGGATTTAAAGTAAAGCACTCTTGACAGTACAGGAGGAGAGGCCACAGCTTGACCCCTACTACTGTAGACCCACTCCTTCTCCTAAAGGCTTTTAGTTTGGTTAAGTGGGCTGGGCTGTGGGGCAGATGGTTGTAGGTAAGTGGGGGATGCACAGAAAACAACTGCGAATTCGCTGACCTCTGTCTCTCTCTTTCTAACGGCTGATTTGAGAGAGATCTGAGATTTCCCTCAGAGCCATGCCTTGGTCTCAGAGTGACATATTTATTGGCTGCTATCTCAGAAAGGAGGCCAGAGGAGGTAAGATTTTGGACACACACACACACACACACAGCAATTTTAGAAAAGCTATAGTAAATCTGGCAACATATACTTTATATATCTGCACAAAAGCTTCATCTACTTGCAGCCACACCAAAGACAGTTATGATAGTAATTCATATTTCTGCAATTTCTACAAGAGTAAAATAAATGTAATCAGTTAAACACCACCCAACTCCAGAAGCTATGCAGTTGATATTAAACAACAGCAGGTTGTAGGTGCAGGAACTAACAGAGGAGAACTAGCAGTTGTGTTATCTGGAAGAGGAGAAAACTTGGCTTAAGGTAAAAAATGAGGATTAGGCCGAGTTTTGCTTTTTTTGGCCATATCGTTACATTTTTAGGCACAGCTATTACAGTCCTCCTGGACAAGGTAATAAGGACATTAGACCTCTGTTGACACTGGGCTCCCACAACAAAGTCAGGATAAACACAGAATCTCATTAATAAAACAAAAGGTGGTTCTCATGCTTAAAATCTCATTAACCATAATCATGTCTCCTGTTCTTCACACATAGGGTACATTAAAAAAAACACTATATATTCAACAGTTCTCTTGAGTCATAAAATTTATTCTGTTATTAAAAAATAAAGCCTTACAACCAAGAGTGACTACTTAAACAGTTTTTAGATAGTAGTCACTTTAGTCTCTTCACGGTATTTGTTGTTCATGGTATGTTCTATGAACTAAATGTGTGGATAAACAACATTGAGCAGGGAAGTGTGCACACTTGTCTTAGCTTAAAGGAGTTATCATAACAGCACTAGAGTGATGTTTATTGCATGAAACAATTATTACTCCCAACAATACAGAAGACCTTATTCCCCGAGGCTACCTGCACAAGACAGAGCACGGTGAACAGCATCACCATAAAATCCAACATTCATCTAAGTGTTCGTTTATTCATCATATAATATCGCTCTAATGATTACTTATGTTAGCCAGCTCATGCTGGCACAAACAGCCCATGCCTATGGACTTTTATCACAGCTCTCTGAAAAGAAGCTTGGCAAGTTTGTTCGTTTGTTTGTTTTTGTTTGGGTTTTTTTTTTTTTTTTTTTTTTGGGGGGGGGGGGGGGGGGGGGTGTTAACACTTCATCAAGCCACTACCCTTCACCACAAAGAAAGGTGTACTACCATGTTTCATATTAAATGGAGAGCCACAAGGAGCAGTAGCCGCTTGAGGACGTATACCAGAGAGTCAGCTGAGTCCATCAAACCATCCAAGGTGTACTCTCAGTGGAGTGGCAGGTGAACAATATAAGAACAACCCCACCAAGGCTGGAGATGGAGCAATACTGGAAAAGTGTATGGGAAAAGGATGCAACCCATAGCAACAATGCTCAGTGGCTAGTGGAGCCAAGATCAGTCACAGTCCAGTAACCATCACAGTGGCAGACATCCAAGGAAGGGTCTCAAACATGAAGGGCTGGACAGCACCAGACCGTGACATGATTCACACAGAAACTAAATGCTTCTTGAGCCAAAAAAGAAGCTACTGGTAGACAGAGTGGTAGACTGAACAGACTAACCAATCTGTGCATTGCCTGGATTGATTACGAGAAAGCCTATGGCCTAATGCCCCCTGGAATCCCTAGAACTGTACAAGATCAACAGGACCCTAACAGCCTTCATCATGAATTGGATGGGGATGTGCCAAACACTTGAGGCCAGCTTCAAGCCAGTTGCACAAGTCATCAAGTGCAGGATCTACCAAGGAGATGCCCTGTCCACACT